ATCCAGCACCCGGTTGGAGGTTGTTTGAACTCTTCACCGTGAAGACGGGACTTCTGAAGTGCTGGTGCGTCTAGCCACAGGGGGTGAGCTAGGTCTTGATGATCTGTCTGGTCAATACTTCCATACTTTAGCACTAGACTGGCTACATGTGTCATTTTCTACTTCTACATATGTTAAGAAGAAGATGTGTCATGGAGCTGAACTGAGTAACAAAATAATGTAGCAAGAAACTAACTGCTTATGCTGTTGAATAATTAATGTATTTTTTTTGTGTGAGTGATATGTATGTAAGGAGTAATTACTTATGTTCAAGTGATGTTGCCAACACTGCTTTTAATATATAATTTACCAGTGACTTTATGCAAACCCCCTACAGGAGCTCTTCATTTAGAAGTTAATGTTTTTATAATGATACTTAAGATGGATCAAAGATAATGGTAATTATACATAGTCATTTAATGGTCAACCATTGATTTTTTATTTATTTATTTTTGGTGGGTGGGGTTAGTACCTCCCCCTCTCATCTCCTTGCTTGGATTTAAACCAGTGCACTGCCCACTCAGCTGAGCAGACTGCTATAAGTGTGAGTTATAATGACAGACACAGCATGGAGTCTCTGCCTTGTCAGTCACATACTGAGGTCTTTTTTGCCCAACATAATGGCTTCATAAATCTTCTTGAATAGTAAAATAGACCCAAGGGGCCATATTGTTTTTAAGGTTGCACATGGGGGGAAAAAAAACAAAAACCTTTCACATTATTCCAGGACAAGAACAGTGATCTGACCCTATGAAAACGATTAAACCTTTTGGTGTCTCTTTTTTTTTTTTTTTTTAATGAGATAGGAAGCAGTTACTGGTGACTTTTTGGATTTGGTCTCACAAAGTCACGTTAAAACCTGGCAAAAAGTGAGAGACGGCTTCAAATTTGATTGCAGCCGCACAATTAAATGCAAATGCTTTCATAGTTCCCTTTCACTTTGGACTAAGATGTACTCATGATACTGTTAATGGATTTGATGGCGGCCTAACTTAGCCTCATGTCAAGCTCTGTGATAGTGCTCTCATCACAGGGTCCTGGCCGGACGTTGATTATCTCCATAAGTGCCTCTGTCTGTGCCAAAGACTAAATGAAAGACAAGTCACTTTGCAGAGAAGAGTTATTGGGAGCTGGTCGTCGAGCACAAAGCCCAGTCGTTACACAAAGCTAGCCAAATGGTTAGCGTTCATGCTGCTCCCTATCCAGTGAACTCGCCATGACCTGGCAGAGTGCATCGCCCAATGTGTCTGTCACATCCTTTCTCTCTCTCAACAGATGCAGGTATTAATAGGGAGCCTCCGGGGAGGTTCCAAAGGTTAATGAATCTGTAGCCTTAAGCAATATGGCACCATATTCACCCTTCATGGATACACGGAGCGGCAGACCCTCTCCTAGATGAGCAGATGGGTCCTGTGGCACTGAGCATAGTGGGTCGCCTGTAGTGCAACAGCTCCAGCAGAATAGACCTCTAATCCTATAAATCCTGTAACTGTTGCTTCTAATAAGATCACTTTCTTTGGTCGAGTACTTGCTGTCAAATATGATTTAATACTTATTAATATTTAATAGTTTTTCTTCAGATCCATGCTTCATTGTTCTTCAGAATGGATTAAGACACTACATGATTAATTTGACTAAATTGCATGTACTTGTGACGCAAAGAATATGTTTAAAAAAAAAAAAAAAAAACAGTATGAGTGCAGTATTACATCAGTTTACTTGCCCTTGGCGCTTTTGCTAAGCCTGAACAGATCTGCCTCTGGATTGGGGAACATCCATCTTTTCGTCCTCAGGTGCTGGCCTCAGTTACATGAAGATTTTAGACACCACACCCTTGAGTCATCCTGTACTTTGCATTCCCCAGATACCTTAAATTTCCCAGTATGCTGCAGGGGCCTCTTCATATTGACGTATTCACATATGACTGAGCACACCAACTTCTTGAGCCGTGTTTCTGTGGGGAGGCGGCTGAGAAAAGTGTTCAGAAAGAAGGGACCACAAGGGATACATGTAACTACAGAAACTAGGATTTAACATTTGTAACACTTAGTTGAAGCCATATTGAAAAAGTATTACTTAGGAGGTGCCCCTAAAATCTGTGGTTATGATTTATGACTAGTTGCATCTAAATGGGAACTTTAATACTATAGAAATGGAATTTTCTCAGGCCTTTTTACACACCTCTTACTGGGACAAAATAACATGTGCAAAGTGATTTTTGTTGCACCAACAACTTTTTTGCGCACTGAAAGGTCAATGCAAGAGAGAGATATTTCTTTATGCATTACTACCCTCCAGAATTAGCCAGAAAGTTTCCTGATTCCTCCGAGAGGCAGAAAACCCTCCCTAACAGCACCCCTCTCTTTTTTTCATTAAAATTTTAAAGTTCTCTGGAGTTGCATAAGGATATGCCCTGGGAACATGGAGATTTGGTGTGTGCGACACATGCGGGGCTGCCATGCTTGTTGTTGCAGTCTCAGCAGGCATGAGAGGGACCAGCAGAGGAGGAGGTGGAGGAGGAGGAGGAGGGAGATGTTACAGGAACACGGGTGGATGTTTCAGCCTCCTGTGACTCAGCTAGCTCCACTGGAACAGTTGGAGTCAAAGCAGGCCGGTAGTGAAGCGAAGAGTGACACAGACATATTGGTTCACTGCTTGAGACCCCGAGAGCGGTCAGAGACAAGGGTGTGACAGCGTGACACAGATGCAGAGATAAGAGGAAAAAGGGGTTGGCTAATGTTTTATTCAGCCAAACACATGCGAGCCGTGTTGCCATGGTAAAGGTGAGACGGATAACCTTCCACCTACCCACAGAAACGCCTGTTCCCCAGTCATTGTGCAAGGAGGATAGCCTGTCAGTCAGCCAGTCTGTCTGCTACCAGCCAGCAAGTCATTCATCAAGCAAGCTGCTAATTCTGCCCACTGCCATCCTGAAGGTCTGTTAGCCAGCTACCCAGTCAGAGACGGGGTTGTAAATCTGTTTATCCTGCATACTGTTGTAGTTCATCCAGATTGGCCAGAAGTTGAGAACAGTTCCCCAGCAGGGCCTGTCTCACCAGACGAGCAGGGGCCACTCACTGACCCCCCGCTCATCTTGTGCTGTTACTGGATTTATGAGCTACCGTAAATATTTGAAAGAGGTCCTGTGGGAGTTGTTGCAGTGATGCAAGCCCTCAACCAGAGACTCCATGTGCTCTCCAGTGTTTACTTTGTAAACGTCACCACCTATGTGGGAGCTCAGGGGAGACATCCAGTGCTGTGAGGCAAATAAGGAGTAGTGAGTTTTGTTGTGTGTCACAGGAGCAGGCTTTTGTGTGTTCACTGAGCTGAGGTGTTTGTGCTTTTACAGGGAGTCTGGTAACACTGTAACACTGATATTGCTGGTGTTTCTGGAGGCAGCGCCTACGCCAGAAAACAGTACTTATCGGGAGATCTTAACAAACAAACATGCTAAACTGAGATGGTGAACATGGTAAACATTATATTCATTACACATCAGCATTGTGAGCATGTTAGCACTTAATATCAGCACTGCTGTGCCTAAGTTTAGTCCCACAGCTAGCATGGTTGTTTTTAAAGCAGCAAATAATCAGTTTTCTATGTTAACACTGGCTCAAATGAAAAGGGTCACTTGTTGTAACAAACCCAGAGATAACAAAGAAGCAACTCTGCAGTTCTCCTCAGCTCATCTCATAGCTTTTCACAGGGAAAAAAACGACTGTACGTTGTGTGCTAGGCACCAAATGGCAGACTGACACAGTTGGCAATTAGCACTAGAGTTTTGCAGCTTAAGTGCCAGATACTCCTCTCAGGTGTTGGAGACCAAAAAATAAGTGGAAGAAAAAATATTGACACAAATTTGTCGGTGGCCATAAAAGTCCAAATGAATGTTAATGCAGCTTCTAATTGGCTGTATGCGTAAATAGGTAGATGTTTGTTAGCAGTTTAATAGGTCACTGTCAGTGTTGTGTTTACAGCTTGTTGTTGTTGCCCACAAGTGGCCAAAAACTTGTTATTGCAGGTTTTAAGAACTACTAAGACACCATTCCCAGTTTATTTTGATTGTGGTGTTTTTTTTTAAAAAAAAAAGAAGAAGCTACACTGCTCATGTCCTGTGTTTTGATTTTTAGTATAGAGGGATGAAACTGATTCGAGTTACCTTTTTCAAGTAAAAAGCTGACCCCCTACCAAAGGAAAAAACATCTCAGCATATGTATCTATGTAACAGCACCTTATCTGCACACTCACACTGAAGCCAATAAAAGTCAGAGCAAATGTGTTCAATGTGCCTCTTTGAGACAAATTACAGAGTTGTCTTGGGAGTCACTGTTCTTTCATGTATTTCCCCACATAGCCACAAAATTAGAGCCAAGCTCCCATATTATCTTCTCCGTGATCTCTTGCCGATTGTTGATGACAGCATAATTAAATATAGGGATTATGAAAAAATCAAACAGACGTTTTATCTCTCAGAGAAACTTTGTGGGCTGCAGTGCAAACAGCAAATCAGACATTCACTCAAATTTTAAAGTTCGTAAAACCCTTGAATGATTCACATGATGTATGTGTTCATGTTAGATGACTGGCGGTCTGACTGATCTGTTCAGCTGAGTTTTTCTTTGGCACCATGGTGACAGAGTAAATGGTAAAAAGCATAAATACTTGTCTCAGTCTCAAGACTGAGAGATGAGGCAGGTCATTTTTGGGTGATGCCATTGTTTGCTGTCAGAACTGATAATTACCTCAACTCCTGCAGTCCTGATTTATTGTTTGCAGAAGAATCCACAGCATCCTCCAGAATGAACCACAGCCACACATATCAGTTCTTCTGCTTCAGTAGCTGTTGGTCATGGCGTCAGAAGTTGGATATGGATCTGTTGTTGTAGCTTGTGTTTAATCTTTTTTTTAACGTGTTCTTGGATCAAACATAAAGAAATGGCTTCTCTCTCTTCTCTCCACAGAATCCAAAATGACTTTTACTAAATGGCCACTGGTCGGAGCTTAGCGCTGATCCTTCGAAGAGCACCATGAGTGGATGAAAACAAGCAGCCTTTAATCCAGAAAGGATTCCTCGTCTCTGTGATAAGAGTCTACTAACCGTGTGTAAGGACCACAGGGAGTACAAGAATCAAGTCAAGGACAGGTTCACCCCCCCTCCCCCTCCCCCCCCAGCCTGCAGGAAGATGAGAATGAGAAAATAAAGCTCTGCAGAGTCGAGGAGCTTAATGAATACCAAGGAATCTTAAAAACAAGCATTTGTGTATGTCTGTTTGAGAGGATCCACCAACCATGTGGACATTAGATGTGACTGTCCACTGTCTTCTGGCTGCTGCACTGCTATTGGCTAGCTGCTTCCAATCAGTGATGGCCACTGAGGATGATGTCACGCCACGCATCAGTTTCCCATACAGTAAGTCTAAATAATTACCTGACTTTTGTTATAACTATTGCAAGCATTGCTGGACACATGCTCAGTGTTATCCAAAAACATAATTGATGGTCCAGGAATATGTTGCTTTAGCCTCTTGTCTTTTAGCACAATGAAGCCATCACCTGCGGATTTATGATCACTTTTTAGGGTTTTTGTTTTTAAGTGAGCCAGTGTGGAAAAATAAAGTGTCAACCAGAGACTTTGTTTCAACCAACTCATGAAGGTAATGCTAATGCTAGCTACAGCTGAGAAGTCTGCTCCAACAGTTTTAGCTGACATAATCGTAAAAAAATAGACTTGAGTAGCCTACTTTACTTTATGTCTGAAATCAAGGATACGCTGTTGAAAAAATGACTAAGAATTTTGAGAGCTACATCCGCCACTGTTATCACTGCAGACTGCGTTATGTGCCGTGCAACGATGGCACGCTTGGCAAGTGCAGCAACGGTCCATCCCAAAACCATAATTTAGGTCAATGGTGTACAAATGCAACAAACACAGCTGTGTTGTAGTGTAGTGTGTAGTGATGCAGCCGTTGCAGCAGTGTATTCATAGAGAGACCACAAGTGCCTGCAGGCCCCGTCACACACATGCCACTTTGAAGACACCAGCATTGCAAACACCACTTCTCATAAATACATGCAATTATTTTCAGATGAGACGTCACTTTGCACAGAGTTTACTGTGTGCCTTGGTTTTCTTTTTCAGCCTGAGCCTTGACAAGGAGAAGCATCTGTGGCATAGTATGAAAAACAAATAAAAGTGCTACAATTTGGGACCGACTAACTGCTGTACAGCACATGTAGTCTGGCTTCATACCTTCAAAATTTTGCTTCTAATTGACATGTTGGTAATGTTCAGCTGAGTGCAACAATTGATCTCACAAATATAACCTTAATGCGTTGCCTGGTGAAGACCTTTTTGCACCTGACTTCATCGTTGCATGTAATTAGTCCACGCACACAATGCAGCTCTCCTCTTGTAATTGTAATAGCTGTGGAGTAAGCTTTCATAATTCAAAAACATGGCGCCGTTTCTCTCTGTTTGTTCAGCTGACAGCTTTTTCGGTAATTGATGAATTATGGGAGATTGTGACAAATGAAGGAGTGGATAAATCAGGTTGCTGTTTGGAAATTGACCGATTTTCACTTAACACTTATTTTTTAATGTCCTGTGTTGTAGCTGATAGGAAAGGACTATTCATCATCATCATCTTCAAATTGACTCTCTGCTTCCTGCAGTGCAATTTTTTTCTGCCCTGTCCTTGTCTGTCTTGCAGAACTGCTCATACAAGCAAATCTGCCAATCCAGCAGCAACCTAAGTACAGGCTTACATGGATGTGTGGGTGTGTTGGCTCCTATAAACACTACCTGTCTCAATCTGAAACTCCTCCCTCTGAAAACAACAATCTGATGCTTGTTTTCTTCTCTCTTCCTCCAACTCAGCCAGGCATCATGCTGTAGTTCACATGCACCATCTCAAATTGGCATCGCTCATACCCAAGAACAACCTTTCACATACTTGAGCCATTTAACTTGTTTCTCAAAGCACTAAATGGATTAAATAGGCCCAAGGCTGGTTCCCAGCAGCTGAGTGTTTTGCAAACGACTGATGTGTCTTTTTATTTTTTCTCCCTCACTTTGCTTCACTCCACTCAGCATTCATAATCTAAATTTCATGTATTTTGACATGAGCAGTTAGTGACTGAGATTCTTTCAGCTTGAGAGCATAAGTAGTAGTGTGAGACAACATGCTTTTCAGCTGGTAATACGGTGTAGAAAATCTTATTTAAACGTCACTGACACTGATTGTAACCTATTCATTAAGAATACGGATTTGCATAAACAAGGTCTGCAGCGTCGCTCACATGCTAAACGTTTCGTATATAAACTAGCCTCAATTCAACCCGCTCCATTGATACAAAACATGTAAAGCAGGTCACCCCTTTAAACCCCCATTCTGGCTTGTATAGTCTGTAAGAAAAGGGGGACTGGGGCTGTTTTCTCGAGAGAGGACCCTTGCCTCAACACAACCTTTTTCCTGGAACGGCGTCCCTTTCCTTTTTGTCCTCCTTCCCTCTCCTCTCGCTCCTTCCTTCTGTCCTAATGAGCAGGCTAATCTCTCATGTGTAGTGAGTGGAGGTTTTTGTGGTCGCTGCAGTGGGAGAGTTGTCTGTTTTTCATTATGGCTCTTGTGCAGAGAGGCAGCACAAAGGATCATGGGACCTGAAGCAGTGAGCATTGGTTAGGCATGCGGCATGTATCAGAAACTTCTCAGGCAGGATGTTAGTGTCTTTCTCCAGAGATGTGTTAAGGAGATGATTTGCTTTACTTTATTTTTTTTCTTTCGCTTGGTTCATGCTCATTTGTTTTTTGTTTTTAAAGATCTGAGTTCATGAACTGCACTGAAGCATATCACCCTGCTGTCGCTGTGAATATGGTTCATTTTAAAGTAATGGTTCAGCATATCAATGTATGTATTTGCTGCCTTGAAAAGAGTTTGGTGAGATTAACGGTGCTACACTTGTCTGCCTCTTCATTATAAAGATACAGCCAGCAGCCTGTTAGCTTAGCATAAAGACTGTAAACAGGGGGATACAGCTAGCCTGACCCCATCAGAAGATAACAAAACCCACCTACCAGGCCCCGTAAGGTTCAGTATCTTGTTTAATCCATGGAAAAACCAAAAGCCAAAAATTCTGTATGCAGATTTTGTTGCCTTCAGACAGAACTCGCTAGCCGTTTTCCCATGATTCCAATCTTTATGCTAAGCTAAAATAACCTGCTGCCGGCTGTAGCTTTATATTTATCATACAGATTTGAGAGTGAGTTCAAGCTTCTCGTGTATCACTTGGCAAATAAGCTCAGCAGTATCAGTCCCAGTGTAGTTTAGTTTTATAGCAATTACTGTGGGCACTATGTATTAGAAGGGTTAGATCACCCACACAGTTCTTTCTACACCGATGTAAACTCGCTCAAATTAAAGCTTAGACTTGGCACTTTAATGTACTATCCACGATTTTACTTGAAATTGAATGTGCTGAAGCAGAGAGCCTGCAGAACAAAAAATGTGTAACTGTCCACATGTATAGTCAGTATAGCTTATCCTATGTATTCAGAAATGTGTTTGTAAGTTTTATTAAAATTTTAGATGCATCATAACCTTTGTGAAAGAATTAATCAAGGGAAATGTTTTGATGATCACATCGCATTTGAATCTTTAGATTTACTGTAATTAATTTCTGCTCTTGATATAATATTTGACATAGGGACAGGTGACCTGGAAGAGAAAGAAATTTTATACAACCACTACAAGAGGCCATATATTCGCACAAGCCGCATTTCAAAGCTTCAGGAATTTTTACATGTGAGGTTTGTGTTGTTTGCAGGTTACTGTATGTCCAACAAAGGAAACGTTCAGATGACAAGGCAACGTTTTCAGTCTTATTACTTTCACACAGGCGGCTGGGAGAGAGGCGAATCAAAATGCCCCTTTAAGCTGAGCTACTGAGCATGCCGTGTATGCTCAGTGTACACAGTGTCCTTTCCCGTTAACGTTTGGTTTATGTTGGGAGAATATTGTGCGCTTTCTCTCATGCATGCTAATCCAGTGACCTTGGCAGTGTGTGGATCGCAGTGCAGAAACAGAGGAGGGGCAGCGAGAGGGGGCGTCAGGCCAAATACTCGTGAGGTTTTAGACATGCTCCGATGCCCACCTAAAACCCGGCAAGGACACGCCCACTGATCCTGAAAGAAAAGCGGTCTGTGGCTTCCAGCAGAGGTGGCACTCACAAGTGCCTGCATATAACGCCATAACAGCCGCAACAATGGAGCATAATTACAGCACATCAACTCCGTCTGTTTCAGACGTTTTAATGGCTTCGTTGCCTGCACGCTCCAGAGAATGTACAGAAAAGTTCAGTCTTCGCAGATTTCGATCAGGAACATTTGATTTGAAGAAAATGGCAAGCAGCGAGAAATAATGGTGCAGCTGTTAATTAAGATGGACAGAGAGGAATGTGAGGTTAAAGAGTGTCATTAGGTGTTTTTTGGGATTGCTGTGATGCAGTGTAGATTGGTCCAAAACAAAAATGTTTTTTGCCTTATCACTATTAACGTATTGCAGTGGAAATTTTCATAGTTTTACAGTTGCTGTGACACGCAAAACATCTTCTTATGATGTACTGAATTTGACTCTTCGTAGCATGGTGAAACACTTAGCATTGCTTTGGATTCTCTGGTGATGGCTGCAAATCACACAACAAAGCGTTTTATTTTTATGACACAGAAACAAATACTTTTCATCACATTGCAGTGTCCACTTTGTCGTCAGAAAACATTTATTTCCCCTTAACATTGGGCATTAAAAAGACGTTGAATGAATACACTGCTTTTACCACAGTGCACTTTTTTGCTTGTAGGAGCAGAATCAGTATCTGGCTTCATTGGTATTCTGCACGCACACATTTATTCACACATAAACTTTTTAAATCAGGTTTTTCTGGTTAAACAGAAATGACTCACTCACTGTCACTGTCATACTGTGTAGTATTGTCAACAGAAAAAAACAGCCATCTGCAGCCTTCACTGTTTACACTGTGTGTCTGTAGTTGTAGGGATGTAAACAGTCACACACTCAGCTTATCGTGTTGAAACTGATTCTGTGTGCTGATGAAGAACATAACACGGTGGAACTTTTGGCTCCTCCTGTTGCATCTTATCATGGGAAATTCTCTCATTCGCTAAAAACCAGAAAACTAGTTGCAGTATTTCTCTCGGCTGATGCATTTCAAACAACGGTTGTCGAAGAAGTGTTAATACTTGACGTAAAGCTGGCTACTGTCATGTTTTGATACATTAATTAAAGTGAGTATCCTGATAGGTGACTACATTCAACTATGTGGTCATATAGTTTAGGACATATTTTAAAACTGATAGATATAATGAAATGTTAAACTATATCACAGTCTCATAGCTTT